CTTCTTGGAGCTTGGGGGGGGGAACAGTGGGAGGGCTTCTAGTGTCCTGGCCCCACTGGTGGACCTCCTGAGGGCACCTGGTATTTCTGGCCACTGTGTGACACAGAGTGTTGGACTGGATGGGCCTTTGGCCTGATCCAACATTGGCGTCTCTTATGTTCTTATTAAGACGGGCAGAACAGGAGAGTGTATCGAGCCCGAGGTGAACCACCAGACAAAAGAAGATAAGAAGAGCCGTGCTGGATCAGAGTAGTGGTCTGTGTCCCGTCTCACACAGCGACCAACCAGTTGGCCCATTGAGGGTCAGCAGCAGGTCACAGAGGCCAAGGCCTTCATTAGAACACCCCCCAGCCCTCTACGACCCCACACCAAAGGCCTTCTTCTCTTTTACTTACAAGCCCCTGAAGGTTGAGCTACAATGTTTAGCCTTCTCCAAAGCACAGCTCATATTGTTTTGTTCTTCTTTCCTTCTTTCTGCACAAATATTGAGAATACTGTTTCAAGCTGTCTGTAGCTCTTATAGCTAAAGGCTGCCCTGTAGGCAGATATCCAGGCAGCTGGACCAACCATATGTTTCGGAACAAATATATATATCCTAAAAATTTGCAAAAAAAAAAAGTTTGCAAAAAAAATCCTAAAAATTTCACACAAAAAAAACCTACCCCAAGACTTACCTGCGATACCTGCAGAGGCAGGAAACAAAGTGTCGAGTTCAGGCAGCTTGTTGAGTTGCCACCACAGGCCAAAATGGGGTGTTTTTAAGGGTTTCCACGTCAATGCAAAATGGTGTGCAGGAACGGGCAGTAGGCAAGGCATGGATGCTAGTCGTGGTCACATGGTCATTTTGATCGGGTTTCACAACTGTTCCCTATCACATTTCAAAGGGCTGACCAGACAGCCCATTCTGTCTCCTGTATCAAAGCGGACACCTCACCCCCGCAATCCTCCCGGTTTTCTAGCGCATTTTCCAACACCGAGAAAATTGAATACTTTCGTACTACTTGCACTGTGAATCTGCAATTTCTCCTATCTGGACAGCCATCTCTCGCTATGAATGCGATTAGGTCATCTGTACGTCCTCCTTGCAGTAGTTTTTTTTTTCTGGCTTTCACCGTCGTGCGCATGACCAATCCTGTGCTGAATATATTAAATGCACGAACGCTCAAACGCATATAGACCAGCACTCGGCTGCACATTGGTAATTCGTTTTGTTTGCTGTTTGAGTAAAAAACATTGCATCTAAGCGGGAGCCATGATTTGCACATGCGCACGCATGCACAAAGATTTTTTTTAATGTGGTGTGCCACCACTTGGGCAGTGCGGCTGTCTGGACGGTGCCTGGAGCCTTGTCGCGCAAAGCAAGCGGTCGGGCAAGGGATGTGAGATAATCTGAACCTGCTAAAAATATCCCCAATCAAATCTACAGCGGGAACAAATCATAGTGAGCTTGCCGTGTGACCACATCCAAAGTTGTGCTGAATGGAACAGTGTGAAAACTGGTACTATGTTTCCATATCCTCCAGCGCTGTGGTGGCAGAGGATGGGGACAGCTGTAGAAAGAAGGGAGGTCCTACGACTGATGGACAAATTAAAAATCACCGGGCTCAGATGGCAGATGTCCGAGAGTTCCGAAAGAACTCAAATGTGAACTTGTGGATCTCCTGACAAAATATGCAGTCTATCTCTACAATCTGCCTCCATTCCCGGGGTCTGAAAGATAGCTAATGTAACCCCCATCTTTTAAAAAAGGTTCCAGAGGAGATCTGGGAAATTTTCAGGCCAGTCAGTCTGACATCGATACCGGGTAAGTTAGTGAAATCTGTTATTAATTCTTTAGGAGGCACATTTTTATTTATTTATTCGTTTGATTTCTATCCCACCCTCCCGCCGAAGTGGCTCATTGATTAACAAAAGCTATTGAGGAAGAATCAGCGTGGATTCTGTAAGGGAAGCTCTTGTCTCACTAAACTTTTAGAGTTCTTTGAGGGTGTGTGTGTTGTGTATTGATAGCTTCGAGCAAACACTCATTGTTCAAGAGGCTCTTCGCAGCTACATTTGGATTGGCCACCCTTGCCAGGCTGACGGAATTGAAAATCTGGGACCAGCAGAAAGTTAAGATAGATCCCGGCTGAGTCACATGACCTAGAGGGGAGGGGACCATTTGGCTGGAGCACCCCACGTTCAGACGCAGCCTTTACAATGGATTCTGTGCCGGTTGCAATCAATGTACCTACCGGCGTTCAGACGGGGAACATCTGTCTTCCCACTCTATCCGTTATAAAGAGCTGTACACCGTTGCACTCTGCCACTAGGTCCCTAGGATAGGGACTCAAACAGGGGTTGAGGAAAGGCAAAAAGGGATCTGGAGTCTGGAAGGCTGGTTGGGGGACCAGTTAGACTCAGGGGGGACCAGACCAATTAAAGCCAATAAGTTAACCACTGAAGGAGCGAACCACAGACAGCCTAAGACAAGGCAAAGGGATATAAATATTTCAACAAAGTGTCTGAACATCCCATGTAAATATATCCCATCCCCCTGGAGTGTTTCCTGTGCAACAATAAAACAACTGTGCCCTTTTGAATGATATAAGTATGGGTGCCTGACTTTCTGGGGAGCCATAGACTGGGCAGTAGTCCTCAAGGAAGACAGCCTGAAATATACAAAACCCGAAGCAAGCTATTTGGAGCACATTGTAAAAAGAAGCTATAGCCGTGCTGGGATACTTCACAAGGCCCAGCTGGCAGGGAGAGCCTGGAGGTAGCCGGCCCTTTCGGTCTCAGCAGTCTGATTTCACCGGAGGCGCCGGCAGGAGCCAGAGAACTGGGGGGAGGCCTGCCAGGAGGTGGGGAAGGAGGCAGCTGGTCTCCCAGCTTGTCGATCTGCCGTTTTTACGGTGTGCTGATGAGCTTCCCTGCCGAAAAGTGGGTTTTTTTTGAATAAGCAGGACCATTTGTTGGGTTCCAGGCAGAGTCCATTTCTTCCTCCTGGCCAAATGGGGCGAATAACTCTTTCTCCCCCCCCCCCTCAAACTGTAGCCAAACTCGCAAATGAAGGTTTAGCTTCTTAAACGTTGTTGAAGGGAGATGCCTACCAAACGATGTGTGTGTGTGTGTGTGGAGATGGAGCCAGGGGTCATCCCCTGCAGGAGCGCACAGGAGTGGAGCTCCGGCAGTAAAGAGGCCCAGGGGGCGGGCACATGCAACAAGCCCCACCCCCTGCTCCCAGCAGCCCTCAGTCCGAGCAAGAAGCAGCCAGGTAAGTTGCAGAGGCCCCCCCGCACCCCCCTGATCCAAAACAGTCCAGTAGCACCTTTAAGACCAAGTTTTATTCAGGTAGAAGCTCTCCCTCCTCTGTGAGGACAGATCTGCACGTCCCCCGCCCCAATAGCTAGCAATCCAAAACAGTCCAGTGGAGCCTGAGCGGTGGGTGTTGCCTTCTGACACACTTCCGGTGATGTCAGGGGTGTGTGGCATATGCAAATAAGTTATGCTAATGAGTTATGCTAATGAGCTCCTGCACCTCTTTTTCTACGAAATGACCCCTGAATGGAGCTATAAATAGTCTGTAAGGTGAGTGACGGCCACAGCTTGCTCTCCCAGGGAGCTTTGCCCCACATTGATTCCCCCCCCCCACTTCCTGCTTCTCCCCATCCTTTGGGAATCTTGCCTTCTCTGTCTTCGCTTTGCAGACACCTGTGTTGTCGCTTCATTTCAGACAACAACTGTGCTGGTGGTTTTTCATCTCCGTATGTGTACCCTCGCTTTTGAGCCTTTGTTCCCTAACCTGTTAATTCTCTGTCTTCGCTTTGCAGACACCTGTGTTGTCGCTTCATTTCAGACAACAACTGTGCTGGTGGTTTTTCATCTCCGTATGTGTACCCTCGCTTTTGAGCCTTTGTTCCCTAACCTGTTAAGCATGATAGCGTTTGCTTCTTTTGTGAAAGGTGTAAGTAGCTGGCCATGCAAATAGGTCTGAGATGAGGGTGGGAACTGGAATAACAGCTGATGTCACCGATGCACTGATGCCTCCTTAAAACAGGGGCATCCCACTGTGCATTTCCAAGGGGAGGGGCTCTTCGGGGGGGGGGCTGCTTCCAAAGCAAAAACCTGCAGATAATTGCCGCCCCCTCCCTGTCAGCATTCCCATGGTACTTCCTGCTTAAACTAGCAAAATGGCTCTGAAGGAGAAGGCGGACAGATGAAGGAGGAGAGGAGATTGGAGTTATACCCCACCCTTCACTTGGAGTCTCAGAGCGGCTGACAAACTCCTTTCCCTTCCCCTCCCCCCAACAGACACCCTGGGAGGTAGGTGGTGCTGAGAGAACTCGGACACAAACTGCTCTTTTTCAAGGACAGCTGTGCCAGAGCTTGTGACTGACCCAAGGTCACATCAGCAGGTGCAAGTGGAGGAGTGTGGAATCAAACCCGGTTCTCCCAGATTAGAGTCCGCACACTTAACCACTGCACCAAACTGGCTTTCAGAGGTGTGGGATAACAAAGTTCAGGTCCAGGGGATATCGTATGGCATCACTGTGTGTGTGACAATACGGTGTGTGTGTGTGTGTGTGTGGCTGCGGGGCAGAGCATCTGCTTGTCATGCAGAAGGTTCCAAGTTCCAACTTTAGCATCTTCAAGGATCTGAGGGGATGGGTTTTGGGGAAGAGCTTTCTTTCTT